AAATTTGGTACATACATTAAACATAATAGGACCTTGATGCACGTAATTTTTTGTTGGATCTAGTTCGAAATGGCCGACTGGCGGCCATTTTGTTTTAAAGAATTCAGTTCTGGATCCGTATCCGAGACATGTCTGGATTGATCAAGTTCAAACTTCACACACACATGGTACATCATGTTACAAATAGACATGTGCATTTGTTTCATGATCCGCTTAACAATAGCTGAATGATGGCCATTTTAAGGCCGAAAATGCATCAAAATCACGTATTTTCACAATTCCGGAACTGGATCTCAGTCATGCATGGATGGATTTTGTTCAGATTTAGTACAATCTGTTGTTCATATGCAGGTGCATTTCAGATCAGACCACTGAAAGTGGTCTGAGATTTCGGTCATGATCTGCTTTGAATGTATATGTCACTCAAATATGAACGGAACGGGGACGTGTCATTTACAATAACTTGTTCAAGTTGTACCCCTAAATTTACCGCATACGCTGTATGAAATGGAAAGGAATTTCTTGAAAAAACTTCGGCGGTTTTTCTCCTAGATCATGATTAACATCCCATAGTGCATCACAGATGCAGATGATGGAAGAGTTAGTCTGATTGCAAGAAAGATTGAGAAAGATAAACAAATCAATGAACAATTAAAGTATGTCTTTATACTACAAATGGGAATATAGTTGCCATCAAAATGTGTCCAGTGAAATATATAAAAGGGAGATACTGAAGTCAGGAAAACAGGATTTACAAAATGCTTGGTAAAAAATCGTTTGTTATATTTTTCATTAATTCTTGGATTTGAATTGGCTGAACAAGATTCACAAACTCCACTGCTTGATGTGACATTGAGTTATTGCTTATTTGTTTATTAAAGGAAACGTCAAGCCAAACAACATAATGACCCCTCAAGAAAAAGCTTCACAAATGTAGGAGAATGCAATTTACAGTTTTTAGTCCCCGTTCGGACGCAGTTCGAAAACGGGGACTTATGTTTTGACCTCCGTGTGTGCGTGCGTGTGTCTGTGCGTGCGTCCAACCTGTATCTTAGAAATGCCTGGACCAATCACAATCAAACTTCACACATACATCATACATGATATTATACATATGCACGTCAATTTGTTTCACGATCTGATTCAAGATGGCCGAATGGCGGCCATTTTTGTGCTAAAAATCATCAAAAACAAGCATTTCTCAGCTGTTAACAGATGGATTTTGTTCAAACTTGGTATATACATTAGGCATTATAGGACCTTGATGCACATCATTTTGTTTTACGATCTGATTCAAGATG